AAACGTAATACCCCAACCATCTCAATAAGATAAGACGTTAGATCTTACTGCATTAGATAGTAGACTGTTATGGTTCCGCACCCAAAGGGTAAAAGGGGACCCTATTATTAATATTCCCCAGTCTGTCTGTCACCAGGCTGTATCTCATGTACCGTGATAGTTTTACAGTTGAAATTATCACAGATGATGTTATTATTTCTGTTGCCGCTATAACAACAAGTACTTAAACCCAGAATAAAAAAAAATTAGGTGGGGCTCCGATACAACAGACATGATTTCTTTGCCGATTTTATAGATAGTACGGAACCCTTCGTGCGCGTCGGACTCGCACTTGACCGGTTTTTTTTTAACAAATGCGTTGTACTTTAAGATAGTGACAAATATGGTTTAATCTGGTGCGTCGCCGGCTTTTCATAAGATCTTTGAGAGTGGAGCCCCCGTTTACCTCATGCCGGAACGAGACAAAAATAGAAATAACCCCTCATTAGCTGGTCTTCTCCGGGAGAATTCACCGGGAGGCTCTCTCGTGGAACAATATAAGCCATTTTCAAAGTCGAAGACAAAATTTCTTCATTCAATCTAGGCTTATTTCGAGTTCTTATTGAACGTCAATAAATTACCAGCGGTTTACTGAACTAAACCTGTCCAGAGAAGAACGGGCAAGATAGTCTGCGATCTTGTTATCTTTTTTTTTTTAAATATAGTAAGTACACAAAAGTATTTAAGTATAAAATTAGAGACAGCCAGACTTGCAAGTGCAGAGCAAGAGTCATTTCCACACATCCTTGTCCTCAACGTATTATTCGACATTATATTAGGCCTTTTTCATTAAAGTAGCTTTTACTGGTGGTAGGGCCACGCAGCAGCCTCGGCTGTTGCACGAATGGGCAGGCACGTAAGGTACGTACCACGACTTGGCCGGGTAAGTACCACGACCTCACAGACGACCAGCGTAAAGTGGAAGTATGACAAATACTTTCGCGTTTCCTCTGGTGAGTGAGGTGGCCAGAGCCCAACGCATCTGCAACCCTCGGGTGTAGCAGATGTCCACGGGCAGCGGTATTCACTTACCATCAGCTGGTAACTGCTCCTTTGGCAAATTTTCACATAAAAAAATACGGAGACTTAAATTTTTTTTTAAATTCGATTCATAAGTGATCTAGTTCTGAGAGGCAACAAACATAAAAATACCGAATTGAGTACCTCCCTTTTCGAAGTCGGTCGAAAAGGGACGTCCGCCCTACGAACATACCTGCTTACTCCGATCCGCTAAGTATTAGTGTTGGGCCTCTAGTGGCGTTTGTGTCACGCGGCGCCGTGTTGCAAACTGGTGATCGGCGCGTGCGACTAGGCGGACCACGTCGCGTGACGCCCGCGGACAGTCCCGACTGAAACCGTGTCCAAAAAGTGTCTTAAATTTTAACTTACTATGCCCGACGTTTTTGTTTTGACTCCGTATTCTATCAAAGCTAAACCAAACGCAGAAGTCGTGAGATAGCCAGATACAGTCGAGCTTGATGCGGCAATTGAGGTTCGGTACGTACCATTACCTCGATGGTGGTACTGGATTAATCGTTGGCTGTAAGCGGCCAGTAGTAAGATGGGTTTGGTGAAAAAATGCTTGATTGAGACTGGCTCATTTAATGTTTAATTAGCAATATACAGAAAGAACTAGCTGCTGCCCGCGACTACGTCTGCGTAGAATAGGTTGAAGGCGTAACATTCAAACAGAAAAGCAGTTATACATATGTATATAAATTATAGCCTATGTGTTATTCTGATGTATAAGCTATATTATTGTAAAGTTTCATTAAAATCCATGCAGTATTATTTGCATGAAAGAGTAACAATATTAGTAAGGATAGTGCTGTGTAAGGTCATACAAGTATATAGTTGATGAGAATACATATGTTTTTAATTCATTATTATAACCTTATAGGGTCTAATACGTTCCCGTTTTACCCTTTGGGTATGGAACCCTAAAAACGAAGTAAATTCTTCTAACACCAAAGTTTTTTTGAACAGTAACCGGTATGTCAAGTTACTCCGGAGGACATTCTTATTTGTTACTCTTAGATATCATTAATTTACTTTAAACGTATAACAAATTAGAGTTAACATTAATAAAATCTTTCATAAAAGCATGTTTTGCTAATCGCAATCCAACCCATCAATTAAGTGATAATTATTTAATCCATTAGCGGGATAATTGCTGTAAACAAGTTTTCCTTATTAGGTGTATTTGTGTTTAATTGCTTATTATCGCACTTTGTTTACAAACTGAAGAATCGTTAATATTATTTTCAGTGGAAATTTTTGAAAATTTTGCTAAGCAAAAATGAAGGTGCTGATTTTAAATAACTATGTACGAATCATTAGTACATAGCTCGTTTAAGAAAGAACGTTTAACTTTTACTGCTAGTCCCTGCACTTAAGATTAATCTTTAAAAATGTGAAGGTAAAGAAAGGATTCAATTAAAGGATTATGAGTTCGATTGCTGCAAAAATTTTTCCCACAGTTTTATCTGCACCTTTTTAAAAAATGGAAAGAGAATCAACAGAATAATCAGAAAGTTGTTCTTTTTTTTAATTTAAGTTTATTAATGACAATTTTTTGATGATTTTCCTAGTTGGATTTTCGTGTATCCAAATCATTCATATATCGGGATGACATATGAGTTAAATATTAGCAACTAAATACGTTCTAAAGTGGAAAAGTGCTTTGCAAACTTATGATTTATTTGTAATTCTCTCTTAATGTACTCCACGATCAGATATATCCATTTAAATTACAAAAACATACCTTGGTCTGAAATTCCGCTTATAAAAAATACGTAGCTTTTAATAAATTTGAAGTAGACTATTATGATATAAATAAAATAGATGTTTATTTAATAATCCTGCAAATGAAAAATGAGAGATGCAAACGAAATTTGACGCGGAACAAAAAAAAAATTAAAAAATGTTGTACGATTGTAGCAATAGCATACTAATCGTACTCTGCGGTACACCTGATTTCAAGTTTCAATTAACTACCGCCTTTAAGTGCCCCGATCACAAAAATATAACAGTCCCATTTCTCGCTGATTTTCTGCGAGTCCGTTGGTAATCTCCCGGACTGTACTGTCGACTCTCGCATCAACAGAAGCTGCTGTGAGCAAATGATTGGGCAGCACTTAAAATTTTCATTTACCAACTCTTTGGTGCCGGCACCGGGAATTGAACTCGGGCCGCTCGAGTGTATTGAACTAAAAGTGCGCCTGGACACTGAACGATAAGTACGCAAAAATTCAAAGTCTATATTTCTTTGACTTTGCTGTTCCCTTGATAATGCTCTTGTTTTATGAACGTTAAAGCTATATATAGAGACGAAATGACGAGTGTAATTTTTTTTAACCACAATGGCGGCGACGGTAGGATAAAAATTCCATAAGGTAAATGTTGTTGTTGATGTCCGTTGAAGGTACGTTTTAGAATAAATACGAGGCAGATATAAATTTGTCTGAAATCCGGGAGACCTCGCTGATAGTGGAAACATGATATTGCAATGAGGACATGACAGCGTACCCCTGAATATCTCCTCTGTAACTGAAAACACTGTGTAGCTTAAAACGGGAAAAAACATTGTAGATAAAATAGGTTGAGATTTTCGTCGGCGTGGCAATTAGCCAGTTTAGCTTAGTTATGGGGTGAAGGAAAACATCGTGAGGAAACCTGCATATTTTCGAAATAATAACAAATGAAAATATTTTTCGAAGATATGTGAAGTCCGCTAATCCGCAGTGGGGCCGCGTGGTGGACTCTACCCTGATACCCTCTGTACAGAGGAGGCGTTTACCCAGCAGTGGGACATGTATAGGCTGTTATTTTACGTTCACAACGTCTAGACGCGAATCCGGATTCAAAATTCCAAATCCATTTTTTAAGTTATACATCTTTTGGCGCGCTTGGGAAAAAAAATTGAGAGTATAATTTTACGATGTGCGCGCACAAACACGACATCGTTTGTGCGTATTTTTGTTGATAGTGTGAATATTCACGATCGAATCACTAACTTTAAACAAATATATTTACGCACTCTTGACCCAGTTGCACCATTCCGATTTCATCTCCTCGTGATTGCAACGCACTGCGGCAATGCTGCGACGATAAATTTATTTATATAAACGCGTATCTCAATTGTCTTTTGATAAGTCCGCGCCGCTTGTCACCAACCTTAACCTTCCATCCTAACCTCAAACAGTATTCGCGTTTATCGCCGGTCATAAACAGCAATTGTACTAAATTTGGAAACCCATCGTGGCACGCGGCAGACGTCTTAATTTTTTGTTTCCATCTGAGAAGGCCAACGAGCTGGCGGTTCACCTCATGTTAAGTGATAACCGCCGCCCATTGATATTTGCTCACCCGTAGGTTTGCAGAAGCGTTGCCACCTTTTACTAAAGTGGGCCCCAGTTACCTACCAGACGAAACGCAGAAGTATAACACTTGCACTTCACGCCGGTCTTCTGAGATCGGAAAAAAGTCGCAAATAATCACCCATAATTACGCATTTAACAGCATATTTACATAATATTGCGTGCAAATCTGTTACACAAGTAGACTTCCCGTCAATCTGTTAACAGTAAGGAAGTTATTAAGATGATTAATTATTAATACAGTCAAAACAAATAAATCCTGTTTATATGACCACGGTCAAGTCTCAAAATTACCACGACCAGAAAACACACGCACCAAGGATTATAATTATAATGTGACATATACCTGTCCAGTAAAACTACGATGAAAGCACGCTTCCCTTATTACATCCTTCCTTCCATCTTTTATTTCTAACCGGACAATCCCAAACTCACCCGAGCGATGGTCACCACACGACCACCGATAGCGGTCGCGTGGCCGGTCGCCGCGCTTATAAAAGCTCGCGGCGCCCCCCTCCGCTCAGTTCTCGCGCCGCTGCCGCGCCGAGTGCACGACTAACGCGCATCTCGTTCCAGGCCGCGATGTGCGCGGCGATCGACATGCTCGCCTCGGAGCCCTACTACGGCCGCCCCGCGGGCTTCGTCGAATATGCGCGGCTGCCGACGAAGGCGCCCACGCCGAGGCAGCCCTTCAAGCCGCTGCAGCTCACGCTCAGGGCGCCCCGCTCCTGCCTCCGGGCGCCCGACGAGAGGAAGCAGAAGCGCGTGGTCTTCGCGGACGCGCGCGGCCTGGCTCTGGAGCAGGTCAAGTTCATGACCGAGCCGTCGCACCTGCCGCCCGCGTGGACCCTACGCCTCGCGCAGCCCCAACCCCAACTGCCCAAACAGCCCCAGCCGGACCCCTGGGTGGCGCGCTTCGCCCAGCCGGCGGCGGACTACGTGGCATTCAGGCGGCGGGTGACGGAGTGCCACGTCGCGCTGGAGAACGTGATCATACGCCAGCGGGAGCGCGCCGCGGACGGCACCGTCAAGGTGGCCAACCTGGCCTTCGCCAAGGAGGTGTTCGTCAGGTGCTCGGCGGACGGCTGGGCCACCCACGAGGACACTTACTGCGCGCACTCGGGCTCCGCCCCCGCCCGGCCCGGCGCCCCGCCCGCCCACGACACCTTCGCGTTCCGCCTCCAGCTGCCGGTGCATTCGAGGAGGCTGGACTTCTGCGTGGGCTTCCGCTGCGCAGGCGAGGAGTACTGGGACAGCAACGGCGGCGCCAACTACACGATAGAGCGCGCCTCGGCCCGGAGCCAAGCGCCCTGCTGCGCCAGGATCAGCGGCGGGAACGCGAGGACGGTCAACGAGGGCGGCGCGCCCTACTGGTGACCGCAGAATCCAGTACACCGTGGTCAGCTCAGAGGACTGTCGTTGAATGCAACCATCCCGACGGCAGTTCCATTTTGAAATTGCAGTTTTTTTTTTTAATTCGCATATCGTGCAGTGTTGCGTGCGAGTGAGCCACTGCTAAACCTTAACGGGTTGGACAGAGTCAGTTGTCGGAATGGTTTCGTTCAACAACGCGAACTTTTCGTGGATTCCATGCTTTTGGAGGAGTGGTGCTGAACGTGGACGTTGCGGTTGTCCGCGCCGCGTGCGGTCTGGACTGAGGTACCCGTTTCTCTAGTACAGACCAGAGTGCGCTGTCCATTGGGTCCTATCTCAGCGCGAAGACCTTCGCGGGTCACTGCCGTCCGCTGGTATAGACACGGCCTGGTTGAACGTACGAATAACTTTTGCCTTATCTCGGGACGCCCCGTCCATAACTATACACATTCGCCGACGCCCGAAAGGTCGATGCGAAAGTGGAAAATATTTGCCGCGTTGACTTCTTGGGTCCTAAAAACAATAATTAGGCAACTGTCAAGTAGGTTTAAATAGATATAAAATTATTAATTTCATAATGGGTACATTTTCTGACAATTTTTCTCCTCAGAGGAAGAACTTTCAAATACATTATTTATTAGTATTTGAGGTTATAGACTCAAAAAAAAAAAAACAATGAAATTCATTTAAATTCAATACCTACCTACCACCTACTTAATTATTTGTATTAGAAAAGAAGGTTGTCTACGACATTATCGATTGGTAGGCCTTTCCATATTATGATTATCTAGTCTCGACACGACGATAACAACTTAAACCTTATAAAAAAATACTATACTTATAAAGATTATCGTTGAAATTAACACATTCTTCATAAATATTTCGTCCCCTTATCGACAATTTCTTTTACCTTTGACTCTATAAGTTCGCAGATATAATGATATACCTATTATTGCGAATAAAAAACTGGATTGGTAAATGAAAATGTCTCTAATTGAATTTAAATTAAGAATGCTAAAAATGTAAATAGGCATTGTTGCTACGCTAAAAGGAATTCAACGCGTTCATAAAAGATTACACAACAGATTATAGAAGAATCTCAGATTATGTATAACCCCGCAGATTAAATATAGCGCCACGTTACGCGCTTTGTTTTGAAACTGACTGAAGTATTTTCTGTGTCCGCCTAAGCTATTTTTGAAGCGTGCCTTGCTATCTTTTTCTTCGATTTAATTATTTTTCTCCCGTCAGTCTCGCTGTGTCGCTGAATAGTTAAGATTTTTTTTTATTTTTCAATTAATTTATTATGATTGATTTAAGATTTATTTTTGGATTGGAAAAGTAATTATTTTAATATGTAATTAAGGCGTAAATGTAATAATTTCTAAATACGTTTTGAAATATACGTTTCACGTTTATTTGCTTTCCCATTTCACCCGAAGGTCGTTTAACTTTAATCACGCTATCATTGAGGCGTTCAGACGAAGATATGCGTGTTTATCCATTGATTAGCGTCACGTGTCTGGCGTGTGTTAGATTCAATTTAATTTGTTAGGTTTTTACAGAGTTGTTACTCCTATTGTATCCACTCTTTTCGTTAGACCATCGTGGTGCTTACTCTGAGTAAAACATGCCCTGATAATTTGGATCACTGTTTTTTTTTATAGATAACTATAATAAAAGGCAAAAGAAAACTTTATAATACACGGAAAAAGAAAGGGAGAATGATTCCATAACAATATGAGTTGAAAACAAAATTGACTCAAGTTTTATAACTTTATAAAAATTTGCTCAATCTTTTATATACGCTAGATTAAGATTAGTCTGACTAGATTATCGATATCGTGTCGCAGACCGTTTCTTGACTTAGTCTGTTTTAGTTTCTTTTATCGGACATTAGGCTGAAACCACTTCAAAGTGGCGAGATGATTGTAAATACATTCCTAAGATGTGCTTTGCCGCCAGATAAAACAAGCAACCATGGCAACAATTCTAGATATAGTCTGTAGCAGCATTATTTTTTTATTGTTATCTGTGCGTATTCATTTTTTTTCTTGATTGGAACTCCCGCTCCCGCGCCATTAAATCTAGTCCTTTGAACGTTACCCACCGATACAGGCATATTTACACGTTTAATTAATATTCCCTAACCTCAAAGACCCTTTCACAATATCTCTGCGGTTTGTGGTACGGTGTCAAATACTTTTGTGGTTTCGAATCTGGTCAACAGACTAGTCATCGGCGGTCCATCGTCTAATGCAATATATTATAAATAAATATATGGAATAAAGACATTGAATTGAGCAATATATTTAGAACAAAAAATTTGTGGTAATGGTAATTTTAGTTTAATGAAAACGTAGCGTGTGTAATATGTAGTGCTAATTTTATTTTTAATCAGTTTCGGGAAGCGTATGTTTATGAAAAAAGCGAACACAACGGCTAAACAATATTGTGTACAATATGTAATAATCTAATCGAAATAGTTTACCAAAAAGTTCAGTGCAAATCCTTCAAACCTGACTAAATATGAAACTCGGGAGCTTTTGCGCTTCGTACTTCGAAAGTTTGCGCACAGATGGCGTTTACATAAAACCGTCTTCCATTCCTTAAGGTGCAATATTACTTTTCATTTGTCATATTTATAAGTCTAAACATCTATGATTTAACAATATGAAGCTTTCAAGTTAACATTTTGATTGTGTCATAATTTATATGGTGGTGCAATTTCGAATGGTACTTTCTTTATTTTAAAATGATTACCCAGTTAGCGAAAATAGCGTTTTAAAAGGCCCAAGTCAACGTTACGTTATGTCGGTCCAGACCGCACGGATGTTACAAAACCTAGGAATAACCTAGACATCACACACACAATTTTGTTTGTGAGCAAAATTGGTTAGTGTGTATGATTTGAGTTTTATTTTTTGTATGTTTTTTTTTTCTCAAGAAGATTTAATAATGATAATTGTTAATTTATTGCGAGAGAGAATTAATTATATTTTTTAATGATAATGCTAATGATGTATACAATAATTGTAAGTCGGGTTGTACAGATCGATTTTATTATAAAAAGAACTGATTATATAAGATTTACTTGTAAGTTCATTGATAAATTATTTTTTATGTGTAATTTTGTATAAGGAATTGTATGTTGTACGCTCAGGTAAATGACTTGTCCCCTGTAATGATTAGCCGTTAATAAATTAATTATATACACGTTTCTAGTTTTATTTGTTTTTATTTAAATTTTTTAGTTTTTTTCGTGTAACCTTTTAAAACTGGCCAAGCAAAAGTTTAAAAAAAAAAAGGAACATATTATAATTATAAGGGAAGGGTTACAAAGTTTGTCAAATATAATGAATGTTTATTTTTTCGTCAATTTATAATAATATCGTTACATTAAAAATATATAACTGATAAAAAATGCCAAACTGACAATTAATTAACTAAATAATTAATATAGTATAGTTTAGTTAATAACCACTATAGTTCCAGTAACAAGTGACAAGAATAAGGCTTCGGCGTCGGGGGTCGTGGGTTCGATTCCCACACGGGACAACTGTTTGCATATATTATTGCCGACGTGAAATTTATTTTTGTAAAACTTCCTTACAACACAGGATAATGTTAAAAAGAATAATTTTAGAAATCAGAATATTGCATACCTTGCTCAGAAATAAATGTTGCGGTTTTTCTTGATGGTCGATTTTTTCATTAATGTTCTTACCAATACGAAAATATGTAATGTAATTTCCTATGTATCTATCTAGAAAACAATGAAATTGAGAAAACGGTAAAACTACTAAAAACAGATGATTTTAATGAACCGGTTGGCGCAGTTGCTATGCGATAGATTAGGCGCCGAGGCTCGTGGGTTCGATTCCCGACAGCCGGAGAAAGTATTTGTATGACCTATAGATAATTCCGTGAGTTTTTTCTTTAATTTCTGTTAGTAAAGCGCTTCCAGAAAACAAACAACTTTTATTATAGATTTAGAAAATAAAGTTCAGTTAAATACGATAATCCTAAATGTCAGCTATCTAATCATAGAGTATATAAATAAATTGTTTAGTGATATCTAACGACGACAGATGGCGTAACAAGCGAACACGTCGTTAACTAGATTTGAACCCAACACGCTGTCGACGTTGAATAAGAAGGTAGCCGTCAAGCGTAGAGGTCATTTGCGGCTCTTGAGGTCATTGGAGGCACGCGGAAGTTTTGACTCTGTGGCTAGACTAAGCAGGAAGCTGGTGAGGTCGCTTAGGCCGACTGGTGCTGGGTGACTCAGTGCCGAGCGCCCTATATCAGAATTCGATTCCAGGCGCTCCAGGCAAGATACAGTGAGGTAGCAAACAGTTTACATATAGTTACATCGTGTATATTAATCCCTGGCCACGTGCCGGCTAAAACTGTGGTAGGGCACCGCAACAGTCTTCGCTGTTGCACGAATGGGCAAGTCCGTCCGGTACCACGACTTCGATGAAGACCGGCGTGAAATAGGTTTTATACGTCCGAGTTTGGTGGAATAAAGTCTGTATTCTGATCTACGTTTATGTTTAAACATTGACCTCATATGCTACAGAATGTAAACGACACGCTTTTACTGCGGTAGGGCCAGAGCTTCTGCTGTTGCAGAAATGGGCAGGCTCGTGCAGGGAGTACAACGACCTTCACGGCCGGCGTGAAGTTAGCAACGCATTTGCAACGCTTCACGTGTAGTAGGTGTATAGGTTCTCGACTTCTCGCTTGCCAGTTTTGCTAGTAAATAAAACGATACCGCTATGTAATGCGAACTAAACGCTCTCAAACGGGTAACAGTAATCGAAATAATTGTTTGTTTTAAATAGCCCCCTTGACCATATTATCGTAATTAACGTGGCCACGTGGAGAGCAGTCATAGCTCAGTGTCCGGGCGCTCGGCTTTAATTCAATATACTCGAGTAACCTGAGTTCGATCCCCGGTGCCGGCACCGATGAAGTTTTTACTGTAAGTGCTG